TTCCTTTTTTTTTTTTTTTTTTTTTTTTTTTTTTTAAGTTTTCCAGATTTCATACTTTTTATGAGGTGTATTTTCTAGTGTAATTTCTAGGTACCTATTTAAAGCTAAAATCTCTATAACTGGATAGTGATGAAAGGGCTGTGCAGTGGACTAGGGATTCAGACTGGAATCCATGCTGCTGGCTCCCCTTTGGCAATTCACTCCCTCTGGGAATTTCCCACATTCCTGACCTCTAGTGGTTGTTTCAGCTGTTCTGTGCACCCTCTGTTAGCTGGCTGCAGCCTCTCCTCAAGGTGACTGAAAGGAGAATTGGCAAGGCTGTTCACCAAGGTGTATCTGCAGTTGGTGTGAGAACAAGTGACATAGTAGGGCAGCATTGTAATAAAGAACATCTGTGGTCACTGCTTCTCAGAAGGCTGTAGTATGCAGCACAGCTTTAGAGAAAAAGAAAAGATAGCAGCTTGTTTTTTCCTGTCTTTAACAGACAGTGATTCAGCCAGAATTGAATAAAAATATTGGCCTAATATCTGGGTTCTCTTGCCTTCCTCCAGCATTGATGTTTATCTGTCCATTAAAAATAATCCTGTAAAATAAAGGGCAGCATGTCAATGGCGGCTGCATTTCTGTGCTAAGTCTTTAATAGTGCAGAATCTACCTAATATGTGCATACTAATACATCTAAGTAGATTTTTTTTTTTTCTAATTTGGAACATTTGCAATCAAAAAGAAGATTTAGAGACAGTAATTTATTCCCTGCTGTAATAACTGGGCGGAAATCAGAATGCACATGTTCAGCTTTTCTATTCAACCGTATCTCCTGTTAATCCATAAACAGCACATGTGTTTGCATGGTTTAGCTACAGCCACGTAGTATTAGAGATTTTTCAGACAGAAAAAGATTCCCTAAACCTAATCGTGTGACTCGAAATCCTGGTCACTCTGCATACTCAGAAATGAGGCAAGTTTATGAGGCTGCTCATAATGTGCCATATTTATGGAAAAGAAAATCCTGTAGTTCTGAAAATGTTGAACATACTCTGATGGGGCTTGTTCAGCCTGGAGAAGGCTGCAAGGAGACCTCATTGCAGCCTTCCAGTATTTAAAAGAGGATTATAAATGGGAGGGGAATCAACTGTTTACTCAGCTAGATAGTGACAGGACAAGGGGGAATGGTTTTAAGCTCAAAGAGGGAAGGTTTAGATGGGATGTCAGGGGAAAGTTCTTTACAGAGAGTGCTGAGGTGCTGGAACAGCTGCCCAGAGAGGCTGTGGATGCCCTGCCCCTGGAGATGTTCAAGACCAAGTTGGCAGTGGGCAGCCTGGTCTAGTGCCAGTGGTGGCTCTGCCTGTGGCAGGGTGGTTGGAACTCAATGATCCTTATGGTCCCTTTCAACCCAAGATATTCTGTTATTCTATGATTCTATTATTAGAGTTGTACTCCTATGCAGTTGGTCTTTGAAACCTACTTCAGGCTGGAAGAGCCTGTAGTAAAGACATTTACTGTGATATGTGTTCAAGGAAGCTTTCTGTAGCCTAAAACTTGGTTATATGTTTTATTTAAAAGGGCAATTCTGAAACTCAGTTTTGTGGGCTGATCCACAAAACGTTCTTAGCAGCACCCAGCTTACTGGCCCAACTGTTTATAAAGGAGCAGAGCAATGGCTTGTGCAACCTTTGGCAAAGCCAAGAGCAGTCCAGAGCTCTGCCACTGCCAAATTCTTTGCCCTCCTGGTGGGTCTGACTCTAAGCAACCAAAGTGAATGCAGGAATTAGGAAGGCCTTAAATCTTTCAGGTACAAGTCATAGAGTAGCTGCAGATGAAGAAACTGGAGACAAACTGTACTGTAGCTGCAGAACTTACAGCAGCTCACTGTGCCGGCTGACCATTGTGCAGCCTTCAAATGCACGTGCAGACTCTGCCTGTGCACCTGCACACAATTGGAAAAACAACTTATTCATTATTAAAATGTCTTATGAACATGCAGTAATTTCATTCTGTCACACAAAAAACTAATTTATAAGTATTATGAGAAAAAGACTGAAAAGACTTTTCACACCACATGAAAACACAGGAAACATTGATTCTCTTCTTCAGGATAACATTATTGGGCTCATAGATAAATTGATTTCTTCTACTCCCCTAGAATAAGTACTCACAACCTATTGCCTGTTCTCTTCCTTTCCGATAAAATAATTGTTTTTTTCAAGTTTCATGGACACTTTGCTCTAATGTTTCAAATCTTATGATTTACATTGTCATTATCTCTGACAGCGCCATCTGAACATAGCTTACTGCTTTTTATGGAATTTGTATTAAATCCTGACAATTCAGCGCAGTGTTTTTCATTTCCTCCATGCCCTGTTAGTTGGCTTAGTGTTTGTTTCCATAAATATCTCATTTTTACTTATTTTTTTCTTTTTTTTAAATTTTCAGTTCAGTTAAATTTCAAAATAAGAAGAGAAAACATCAGATATGTATTATTAGCTTAAATTATTCCTGATGTTCCCTATAGTATATTGCACACCCCCCTCCATAGATAAACATGCTTATTTTGGGTAAAGTTTTACATTTAAATTGCCTAAGGATTTGAATTTTTTTTTCTGTCTCCATATCAAGAATTACTTCATTTTAATTTTGTTTCAGTGTGCTCATTTTTACTCCTGTATTGTGCGTTAGTATTTTACATATTTGCTTGTCCCATCCTTTTTTAAACCCAATTTTTTTCTAGTTCCTATAACCTATTTAGCAGTGTTGGCAGTAAGGTTAATGCTGTGCTGAATGGACTGAAATCTCCCTTCAATGCACTGGCAATGAGCCAAGCACTGTGAAAAAGACAGCTTAATTTAAGCAATCTTATCACCGCGGTAATAGCTCCTCTAAAGGGACAGTAAGGTACCAGACCATGAACCTGTGATTCAATTATCATTAATTCATATAAAACTTAGAAATACTAGAATATTAGGAGAAGTATTTGGGGTTCAAGGCAGTTGTGATTTTGCCTTAGTATTCAGCAGTACTTCA